GCAGTTCTTCCAGGATGCAAGAAGACCACAATTCCCGTGGTGTTCCGCACAGATCCGTGCGCAAACATGCCATGGGTTTTCTCGGGGACTCAGGGAACCACTCGAACGGAATCAGCTGCGGGGAAATGCTACTAATCGGGGGAGCCGCGAAAAATGCCGAGCAACAACAAGTCCATCCCAAGAGCATCCATGCGACTGGAATTGTTATATACTTGACAATACGTGATGGGCAAGTTTAGTGTGTAGGGAATCATTAGACACATCACAGTCGTTCAAACTTGAAGTCAAACATATGGATGCCACAGATGTTCAACTACCTTGTCCATTTTGGCCCAAACAAAAATGGCTACTTCATTTTCTTCTCCGTGCACTCTCGCCACGTGGCGGCGCGCGAGTGGGGTGACAGACGATGAGCTAGCATTCGTTTTCCTCACCTCCATTCTGCGGGCCCCGAGGTGGCCGACGCATGACAGGCCGCTCCTGCTGTCGTTGGTTCTAGGTCGGCAGGGTCAGTGAGTAACTTGCTCTTTCGTGACGAGGCTACCAGCCCCCCCGAAGATTCGGCCTACTTCCCGGCCTACCTCAGCACCTTTGCGTATATTTTGAGTTCCGCCTGTGCCAACTACACTTTTTTAGAGCCCCAACGCGGAGTTCAGTTCCGGGAGTCGTTTGCGGAGATCTGTGTGGAGGGCAGCGCTTAAGCATGATGAGGCTTGCTTGGGCACTCCCGAGTGGGCACAGGAGGGAGCACTCATGATCCGACCAGCGACTGCGTTGCACCACGAAGAAGTGATGTATCATGCAATGGGAAGAGTTGGGCATACATTCCGTGACATTCCCGTGTGTCCAGTTTTGCCTGTTTTTTGTGTTCAAGTCCACTTCCAGTGTTCAAAGCTGCGCTTCCTGCAGAGGACTCTGCGAGCTAACCAACGCAAGTAGCGTGAACCGTCATGACACTCCAGGCGTTACCTGTTTCCGTGGAGCACGGTAGCCTGCTTCAGTGTGTCAAACGTGTACGTAAGTACTCCAGACGTGGATGCTCTTGGATCAAAAGACCATGGGACAGGGATGGCTCGAGCTGATGCTCCTTGTGGTTTGACTCCTGCTGGGACTTGTAGAAACATTCCGGCACTCTGAGGACCGCGCACTTCGTGCCGAACTACAACCTGCGCTGGCTTCTGGCACTTTGGGCTAAATCCGGTGTTTTGAAGTAGGGAGACCACCCACAGACCCCCTTGAAAAAGGGACACCCATTGGCTGGGGGTGTTTTTTTCAATTGCACACCCATCTGTCTCATTTGGCCTGCGGCAGCTGAAACAAGTTGAACCACGTCTCCAAGTTCATTCTTGCTTGTTTAGAGGGGTGAACGCACCCTTGAGTTCCAACTGCAAAGGTGTTTGGTGTGGGTGCGACTCTAAAAGACCATGTGAGGAGGTGGTCCATAGTTCGTATTTATTGAGAGCATTTTCCAAGTCAAACACTGCATGTTGTGATATCAAACAATGAATTTGGACCGCGTCACTGGCCATCCAGCAGTTGGCATGTACTGAATGCATGCCCGTTTCCTTGGTGTTTTTCCTGGCGTGTCTGGGTAGTGTGTTGTCTCAATGTAGTGACCCCCGAATTGGGAAATGTATATAATTCAATTTGTAGTCTATTATCCTGGATTCCATTGCCCAAACCTCCTCGAATCAGAATTAAAGAAGGACCGGCGGGGCACAAACTTGCATAATGCTACGTCTTGTCGCGGGGCCAACTACATGCTCTGGTGGCCTTCTTTTTTTTCAGCCGGCCAATGGTTCAGAGCGCCCACAAGGATGCAGACATACTATAGATCAATGATTTCTACCGGTTCAGCATGTTTGTTGTCTCAAGAATCGCACCAACCACACCAGCAGTGCTGCCGTGGGCAGCCTGGTTTGGTGCTTTACCAAGACCAGACACGCTGAACAGACGGCAGCTATTGGAATTGGGTGTGGTCTGGGTCAAGTAGATGGACACCCGGAAAAACCCAACCTCTTTGCGGAGTGTTTGCCACCCAAAATCCGAGACTAGCCGAGAGGGAGGGACACGACCCGGAGAGCACCAAAAAGTGAGTTTGGTCTTCCAATGGTCTTGAAATGTTATTTTCCCCACAAAACGAGAAGGGGCAAACACCTCACCTTCATTTGCGAACTCAACGGCTCGGGATTCAGTCTGGGTGTGCTTTCTTGGTGCCGTGCGACCCCACGCACTCTAACAATTACTGTTGATAGACTTCGCCCAAACGTGATGGAAGCGACCTTCTAGCGATTTCGGTCACACCAAGGCCTCTCAGTCTCGGGTCCATTAGGTGGAGCAGGTCCGTTCTCATCGCCCCAAAATCAGACTCTGGTGGGAGTCTGGTTCTGAGATTTTTTGAATCATTTTTTGAAGTCTGCAGGGTCACCCCGCTCGAATTTCTCGGATCGCTGACTCAACGCCACACGAACGCTGCGTTTCCCTCGAACGTTCGTCATCGTTTCGGATCGAGGTTTGTGTGACCTTTGTGATGTACGGCGTGGCCGGGATGCCGAACCGCTTGGGGTATTTCATCTGTCCAAGAAGCGTTTTTTGTGCCTGAGACTGGTAGAAATAAACCACTTGGTTCACCTGACTTGCTATGCTCTGGAGAGTAGGAACAGATCGAGATTTGGAACCTTGGAATCACGGCGCCAGGGGCCCAGTGGGAGTCTTTACACCCCAAATTGGACTTGAATGGTCCGACTGCTAGCAGCAAGGCCAAAAGGCTTGCACTGTTGTCTGTCTTGTTTGAGCTATCCTTTTGGACTCCCTCTAAGATGGATGGGGCGAAGAATGAGACCCCAAAGCCCCCAGGTAAAAAGCAAAACAGCAAGGAATCGATCCATGCCAATTGTTCTTGGGAGTATCTTTGCATAGTGCAAGATCCTTCAAGATCCTGATGCCGACAAAAGAAGACGGAGAAGGAGAAGGAAAATAAGAAACATAATGACAAGAATAAGAACAAGTAAAAACACACATAATAAACATAAGAAGACAAAGAAGCAGAAAGAACAATAATAATAATACGAATAAAAATAAGAAGAAACAGAAAAAACACTCATTAAAACCACACATAATAAACATAAGAAGACAAATAAGCAGAAAGAACAAGAAGAAGACAAAGAATAAGAAGAAGAAGAAGAAAAAGAAGAAGAACAAGAAGAGACAAACATAATACGGAGAAGAAGGAGAAGGAGAAGAATAACAAAAAGACGTACATAGCCGCATAGCTGTATAGTACAGTATCAAAAGAGTAAAGACTGAAACTTTGTTTTGGTTGGCGTCCCTTCCGGAGCTATTGATTCACGCCGAATCTGAACTGAGTACCAAGCTTAGCTCACCGTCTGAAGAGGGCGCACTCTTCGAGTGAGGCAAAAGCACCTGAGTCGGTTCATGTTGACCATTTCACTCGGGTTAATCAACCAGGGCGAGACATACACATACCTATAGAAGTCCACAGTCTGTTTTGGAGAACGGAGAACACCGACTTTTTTGTCGGGGCACGACTCCCAAGGCAGTATAGAAGACGATTAATCAATCGGCATAAATATTTGTTTCTATAAGGTCTATATAATTCTTCGTTACGTCCTTGTTTTATCCGAAGTTCCTCGCTCACTCGCTCAGTTCGGAGAGTAGACGTTGGCAATGCGATTCATCTGCCGCAGAAAAAAAAACCTCCGTGCCAAAAAACAGACAAACATTTGGGCCAACAAACTGAAAAAACCACTGAAATGCGCATCTATAGTTGGGACTATGGGACTCCGACTCCTAGCATCCTACGCCCGGCGTTGGTCCAACTAGCGGCGAGCTTCGGTGGCATCTCAGGCCTCAAAAGACATGGTTGCCTGGGCGCAGGCGAGGGCGTACGGTCTGTTTTTTTTTTCTTTGGGGTGGTCTGATGTTTGTTTCTATTTGAAGACCCGCAAGGGGTGATGATTGGGGACGTTTGTGGAGTCTGGTTTGCCTTTTCCGAAGCAAACATCTCCCTAGTGAGATGCCTTGTAGTTGATGTCAGAAAGAACCTGGAAGCCCCATAAACAAAAGACGGGTAGCCGTTACAGATTGCAAAAGAACCGGTTCCATCAGCGGTTGACTCACGTCACATCCGGTTGAATTCAGCTGACCTCCAAAGCCCAAAGCCGGTGGCATCAGGTCGCATTGGTAGTTCCATCCTGGTCGAATTTCTGAAAGCCCAAAGAGCCAAGCTGGGGTCCAAAAACGACGCTTCAAAAAAACAGTGCCTTCTTGGGCCCCCAAACATGGGCCCCAGCCGCGGCTCCGCTAGCAGCCCCAGGCGCGTTTCGTTCGCGACGTCACTCGCGTGAAGAAGCGAACGGCTCCAGAGAATCCGCGTATTGGAATAGTTACAACTAAGGTCAGAAATGGAGTCGGTATGTACATACAACTGTTCCATACATGGATGGTCTGGATGGTATAATGAAATAGTTACTTGCATTAGGGATCATTCATTTGAGGTGTCCATGTCACTCTTCCAGTTTGATGGATTTACACCAAAGCGAGATCGACCAGCGCCTGCGACGAGGCCTACAAGAGCGAGATCGACCCAGACGTCTCGGGCATTCACCTTCGTCGGGTCCCAGTTCGATCGTCGTTCACCGCTGGGTGGACGGGACGGGCCAGGTCTACCGGACATCGCGGAGGTATTTTTTTCATTTGATGTTTTTGGGACGCCAGGTCCCGAAACTCAAGCAAGCAAGGCTTGCGTCTCCAAAAGTCAGAACCCCCAAACCGACCAAGGTCGCCTTATCTGAGCCATACTTAGTGATTGAATGGGTCCATCTGTCCGACAGCCCACCCGTTGCAGAGGTGATCGGCGCAGAGGGTCGCCAGACGCAACGAGAAAACGCACATTCTAGGCGCTTGGACCCGAAATCCGTTTACACCACCGGCTGCCACGGGGTAAAGGCAGACAGCCGAACGCGCCAGATGTTTTTGAGATGGACGCAGGTCCGCCGGTGAAGGCGGATGTTCGCAGCGGTGCCCGGCAGCGAGCACTTGAGCTGAGCAAGTGTATAGTCACCTGCGACGACTTGATGGCCCGAAGGACGTTTCCTCAGGAGTGGCCTGTGAAGGACAATGCAGAGGTGGGCTTTCCGAAGAAGGAACTCATGAAGAAGATCTGTGGTGGGCTTGCTGGTTCTTCCCATCTTTCGCATTCTTTCCCTCGTTCACGTCTAAAAGCGCCTGAAAGAGCACCTTAATCTCCGACTTTCGTATCTCAGCCTTTACCTCAAGTGCAGGGACTTCTTGGGGAAACCGTACAGGTAGGAACCAAGCGAACTCAATGTGTGGGACTGTGCGAGACAAGGGTTGTTTAGCTGAAAGAAGATACCTATAACGTAACGGGTCTGGTCAGGCCATGCCGCCGAGGAGGTTGAAAGCAAGTGGCTCTCTGATCTGCCAAGTTTCAAGGACAGTCATCAGTTGAAAAGAAAGGGCGGAGGCGACAGTCGCCTCGAGCCGACCTGAGGATCCGAATGCCCAAGCGTTAGGGCCGACCTTGCCAGACATGGCCAAACTACAAATCGAGGTGAAGCGTTGCAGACTGATCTTGCAATGGAGACGCAGTCTGGACAGGTTAAGGGCTCAAGATCTTCGACTCCTCAGCCTGCACGTTACAGAGGTGATCCACGAAGTAAAAGCATGTTTGATATTTGATCATGACGTGGTTGCTCGACCGGGATCCTGTAATTACTGTATCCATCCATCCTATTCTGAGATGGTTAATCAATGCTCAGAAACGCATGGTTTCCCTCGAACTCCAGCGAACTGGGCGGCCCCCCTGGCTGTTCAGCGTCGCCCAAGGTCAGGCTTCGACCTTCGGCCTCATCGCCTTCTTCGGACTCTATGGCGTCGTGTAACCCCCGCGGAGCAACCGGAAAAGGCGGTGGTTTTTTGGGTTGCGTGGTGCTCCCGAGGGCGGCACCAGGATCTGGCAAGCACAGAAGTGAGGTTCAATGGCAAGACTTTCATGTGGGGAGATGTTCATGCTTGCTTAGATAAGTTTAGCTGCAAGTAAGTGTAGCCCAGGTATAGGCCCCAGGGCTGCATCTTCCTTGACAAGGAGCACCCAAGCCTCGATCGAATCCGGCTTACTGCATTCTGCCCACGGATGGGGTCATACCTCCAGAATGATTTACGCACAGTTATTCAGGAGTGGGGAGTACTAACATGATGTGGACTCCCAGAGTTGTCAGCACTTCAGAGTTGGCTAGGGATTCTACTAAGAGTATCAGTTAATGATACCGTAGGTGGACGAATTATTCAAACCCTTGCAGACTTCACCCCCCTACCCCCCATAGTTCAATGTTGGCCTGTTGGTGAAGGAGGTTGGCTTGAGTGGACGAATCAAATCAAACCCCTGACAACAAAACATCTTTTCACTGAGACAACATTGAAATCGGGGGTGCGGGGGTGGTGGTCTGCTATGGTGGTTTAGGGTTTGATTAATTTGTCCATCTACTGTCTCAACTGTTTGGATTTGTACACCTCCCCATGCCAGAAATATTGGTTTAACATATCGCCTTCACCTTGTTCTCAAACATCATTGCCCATTGCATATGCTGCTTGCTGTTGAAGAGTGTGTGTCTCCTTGGTACGGTACACTTGTGTCTTTTGCGTCTGTGCCTATGTCTTTGCACCCGCTGTCAAGGAACACTAACACTTGACGTATGAAGGTCAATCTTCTCTTCCGCCCAAATCATCGCGCTTTCCAGGTCCTGACAATGTGGCGTCCAAATCGCTGCGCTTGTCCAGTTCTTAACTCCGGCGTCGAAATCACTGTGTTTTTGCAGTTCCTAACTCTGTTGGCGTCCAAATCCCTGTTGGCGTACAAATCACTGTGCTTTGGCGTCCAAATCCCTGTTGGCGTCCAAATCACTGTGCTTTTCCACTTCCTGACGCTGTTGGCGTCCAAATCACTGTGTTTTTCCAGTTCCTAACTCTGTTGGCGTCCAAATCACTGTGTTTTTCCAGTTCCTAACTCTGCTGGCGTCCAAATCACTGTGTTTTTCCAGTTCCTAACTCCCTGTCCCAGTTCCTTACCAGTTCCTTACCAATTCCTTTCCCAGTTCCTAACCCAGTTCCTAACCCCACTTCCCTGTGTTTTTGGAAGTTTGTGCTTTGTTTAGAGAAACTACTAAGCCATTTCTTCTCTGAGATTCATCACGATCCATGGGGAAACGCAGGCGAGGGAGGTTAGGAACTGGGTTAGGAACTGGGAAAGGAATTGGTAAGGAACTGGTAAGGAACTGGTAAGGAACTGGGACAGGGAGTTAGGAACTGGAAAAACACAGTGATTTGGACGCCAGCAGAGTTAGGAACTGGAAAAACACAGTGATTTGGACGCCAACAGAGTTAGGAACTGGAAAAACACAGTGATTTGGACGCCAACAGAGTCAGGAAGTGGAAAAGCACAGTGATTTGTACGCCAACAGGGATTTGGACGCCAACAGAGTTAGGAACTGCTAAAACACAGTGATTTCGACGCCGGAGTTAAGAACTGGACAAGCGCAGCGATTTGGACGCCACATTGTCAGGACCTGGAAAGCGCGATGATTTGGGCGGAAG